ATGCTGCTCGTGTGCTGTCGTAGTTTTTAAAAGCCTGGATAACGCCGTTTTCCCAGCAAATTCACAAGTGGCCCATACAACAGGAAGGACTTCGCCTCTGCTGTCTTAAACACGGAGCAAAACTTTGAGAAGGTTTCTGTTGTATCCATGCTGAATCGCCCGTTCATCCAATAGAAACCATTCACTGCTCATTCAACATGCTGTAGTCTTCTTTTTTTTTCAGGCGGTGTAAGAGATAAAATACCTTTAGCATAGAATCTGTTTAGTTTGTTGGAGATCGTTGCTGTCACAGCCTACACATGTGTACTGTGCGTGTTTTCCACCTCATTTGTTGGCGACCGCTTCCAGTACGTCGCGCACAAGGCTTCTCTCCTTAGACGCTAATGCTGACATCTGGCTTTGCGCCCAAACAGCCATCCCCCTCCAAAATGTTCGCCTCTTGTGCCCCTTTTTTTATTCTCGCCGTAGGGACATCTTTGCATCTTTGTCTTTCCCAATTTCCAGCCCCCTTGTCCCCTGATTGATTGCGCCTGCCAACCAGCCTGCCCTAACCCTCCCGAAGCCCATACATGTAAAATTGTCGCCAAGAGACTTTGGGCTCCCTTTTAAATCCACCCTTTTCATCTCTCCCCTTTCTCTCTTTTTTTCCTCTCTCTCTGTGTTCTAATTAAATCCCAAATACATAATGCATCGGCTTTATGATTAATGAGTCATAAAACGTGTTCCCAGCCACCCCTTGGAAGGAGTCGGTATCTTCTCAGCCTCGTTCCATGGGACTGTGTCAGTCTCTCCTGGGGATTTTACACACACTCTCATCATACATATGCACATGGGCTCGAGTACCCGGCTTGAGCATTTTGTTGGTGGCATGCGCATAGGAGACACACATCATCCAAGATTACAGAGTAAACTCGGACCGTGTTTTTTTTTTGGTCTCTCCCTGATTATGTGCCTCTCCAGCGCACAGGGCCTAGTACTGCTCGCATCGATGTCCTAGTTGCCGAAAGCCGACCACTGTCCACTCTACGCGATAGGTCCCACCGCCCTAACTGTGTCGGTCGGATCCGGCTCTTGGGTTGAGACATCACACTAATCCTGTCGCAGATAGCACACTTTAGTGTCCCCTGCCGCCTCCCGCCATGTGGCAGCTCGCAAAAGCAATAACCAGATGGTAGCCTTTAATGTTTTAAGTTCCGTACATTTTTCGAAACTGTCTTGAGTACATAATTATCTGCGGAAACAGGAGAAATTGCAGCATAAATTATGATGACATTGTGTGGCGCATACACTATATACGAGTCTGTGACTTGCCAATCACTAAATCGAATCACTCTAATCCAAATTCATTTGGGGGAAACTTATCAGAGAAATATTGCTCCTCAAATGATGGGCTCTGGTTACCCACGTGCCGTTTTCTATAACGCTCTGCTTTTGGCGACGGGTAATCCTGAGACCGTTTCTCCATCCCAAACATTGACTTTGACTCGTGATATCTAGACGCCTTTCAAGGCTTTTTACATTCAACATTTTCCTCCCGCTGCATGCTCCGTCCACCTGTCACCGTCTAACCGTAAATGCCCCCCTTCGATTTCTCGCGGTATTATGATCCGCCTCCCTTAGACAAATTCAGCGCGAATCACGACCACTTGATTCCAACAGGAAAGATGATTTAAACTTCGATTTTTGTAGCCGTCCGCGGGGACACGAACTCGGGAAGAGTAGAGCGGCGAAGCAGGGTAGTTTACCCGTGGATATCAGAAGCAAGACAGCTGTTCGTGGGGATCGCATTCCAAAAAAATTCAGGCGGAGATGAAGAAGGGGAAAAAAGGTGATGAGAGTAGAAATTGGTAAAATCGGATCAGAGGTGTTTATTATGCGACGTCAATTGCAGGCACGTTTTCCTGGACTATTTAATTCGGCGTCGAAATGAGCGGAACTGCAGCAAGTGCCCGCCCAACGTTTCTGTTTTGCAATTCGATTCGTCGTTGATATTCATGTGACTGTGACCGAGATGACATTAGGCTCACGGCTACCTGGGAGGATGACATTTGCGCAGAAATAAAGAACCAAGCTGGAGTGCAGGTTAGTTGAGTCTTGTGACGTGCTTTTAAACGGGACAAAGAAACCTCCATGGCGCTCGGGAAAGCTGATGAGAGCGGATCGACCTGGCGCCATGGTGATACCAACCGGTCTCCATGGCGACACCAACTGCTCGTTCCCATTTGGCATCACCCGATAGTCTGCGAGCAACATGGCCGCTCTCATGGTCCCCTCATGGTTCTTACCCCGTAATGCGTTGGTAATTGAATCGTTCTCTGGCAAAAGTTGGCAGAGGTTGTCTGTTCATACCCCTGTCGACGCCCCGGCTCAACTCCGCCCCCCCCCCAATCTAAGGTCGGTTGGCCTCCCTCTCGGGCCGTCGATCGATCTGCCCTGGGCGTTTTTATCTCGAGCAGGGCATGCGCTATAGGCGAATCGCAGGGGAAATGTAACATGTCTGGGATGAACCTAAGGTCATATATTATTTCAGTGATATGGGTCAATCCCTGCTGACGAAGGACACGTACAAATATCAGAATATCCCATATTGGATTGACCTTCATCAACCAAGGAATAGAGTAGGTCAGACTGTGCAGTGACAATAACCATAGCTTTTTTTTGAGTATGATACCCATGCCAGTTCCTCGCCCTATATCGAAACTATTTCTGTCAATCTAGCACACATCGTTACAATGGCCCGACGCACTGTATGCCTTTTGCTTTTTTTTGGAGGAAGTTTTGACAAAGGAAATTGAAGAAAGTGAGTCAGATGGCAGTCCATCTACAGGTGGGACGGCGGGCAGGAAGGATTGATTGTCTCTGCGGCTTGACAAAGATGGATCTGAAATGGCGGGAAAAATGGCAATGGAAAATTGTTTTCAGGTGCGATTTTCGAACCTCCCATCCTTCTTGGCCGAGCGCAGGTTGACAGGGGAGCGGGGTTAACCGAACCTCTTTGTCTGCGGTCAACTTCCCCCCCCCCCCGCTATTTTTTTCCCCGGCAGAACTTGGACGGCAACGCGAGTCGCTTCATACAGTCTTCAAAGGTCGCGAGAAATTTTGCAGATGGGAAGCAGAGGTCAATGCGCATGCGCAGTGCAAGCAAGCCGCTGTCAGTCGTCTTGGTCCCAGAAGCAGAAGGGGGCCCGCCTGCAGCGACACGCCTAAATTCGCCAAATTAACAGAATAAAAGACACGAAGATGAATACCCCTGTCGTTTCAAGGAGGTAATTTGAGTGGGCGCAGGTTTAGGCGCGTCTCCCCTGACTTGCATGAATCAGCCTTCAACAAAATGTTCATAACAGTTCCTGTTCGTGACGCGTATTCTGACCTCAAACAATCCAGAAAGTAAAGGTCTACTTGCATTGCGTGTATGTACTAAAGCCCAAAGCGCTTCCCCTCGGTCCTAATTTTTTTTTTCATCCACACGGCTGGTTGTTGCCTCATGCTGTTTCGTATTTTTGGGATCCCGGGCCCCCGTCTTTCATCAACCTAAAATTGTTGGCTGGCTCAGGGATAAGGGAACGGCGGCCCCCGAAGCCATGCCGTAAATCAGTCGCGAGTCGCCTACAACCAAGCGCCCTGATTGATCCGCTGTTCCTCTGTGCACTGCGCTGCCAGCCGCGGCCACCGCTCACATTTTAGCGCGACCGGCTCGACGATGTGTGCGGGGTTGGTGAAGCTCCGACGCACAGTGAATCATCGAACTCGAGCTCACTGCGATCAAACTCAAATGCGCAATGATACGGTGCAGCGTGTACAGTGTACAGATAAAACTTAATCATCTCAAGTCGGTGATGTTGTCAGGCTCGAGCCATTTATTTTAAAGGACCATTTGCCGGAAGCGCATTCCTTATTGCAAACATATCTCATAGTCTGTTTGGTGTAGCTTTATGGAGCATGTCAGTTGGTGTTTTTATGGAAAAAAAATCTTTGACTGGATTCTTGCGTCTTAGTGGTTTCAGTCGTTTTTGACCTGCTAGAAGAGGAATGTAATAATATGTTATGGTGGAGCTTGTTTAAAAATAAGCATCTTTTTGCTGGCGAATTTTTGTGGGGGGGTGCATCAGCAAATTCTCTGACTGGCAGTAACGTGGTGGAGCTTGCACGTGGAGAAGAGCCGGACACTCGTCTGTCGTCGGACTGCAAAGCATACTGGAAGTCGCGGTGTCGTCGAGGGACACGACTTCCTATAGATACTTCCTTTTGGAGTCTGTGCACTTGTTGGAATGATTGCCGATAATTGATTGCAGTGAATATTGTCAACTTTTTCGACTCCGGTCCGGAAGCCGCAGAGGACAAACTGGATTTGGGCTTCGATTTAGAAAAGTAAATATTCTTAAAACGGTGCGTAAATGTTTGACCAGGTGGGCGGTGCGCGCGTGAGCACGAGGTGGCGCTGATGGGGTCCATCCGGGGTCACGCAATCTGCAAGATCGTCGGGCTGAGTTCGAGGTTGATGCGGGTAATGCGTCTGAGACGCGTTAACGATATCAATTATCGTTCCCTAAAAGTCGTGCAGAGCGCCGTCACAGCCAATCAAACCGAACGGCTCGTCCGTCATCAGAGCAGAAATCACCATCTTGAAATCATATATGACACTGATTGGAGTGGATGGGCTGCGCGAACCTTGCGTACTTGGGGAACTGTCACTGCTTTGCAAACCTCACATTGAATAGACAATTCTGGGATGTAAACGCAAGACCTACTAAGCTGCTTAACTCACAGACGTCGCTCAACATATTTTCAGATCCCTTTGCAAAAACAAACCATGATTTTTCCAAACTGAAACACTTTTATTCATTAAGAATGTAAGCACACACACGAAAAGCTTCAAAACCTCTTTCACGTATAACTCTTTCCAGACTCCAAACAATCTGATTTCGAAAAAGACTTGAATGTTTTGAACCGACCAATAAAGTGGATGGCGCGTTCTTTTTTTTTCATTTTCCAATGTTCAGAGAAGCCACACATGCGGCATTGACGTCATCCGCACAGTTCCTTGGTTCATGGAGACTTCCGATTGTTACAAGGTCAGACAATCATCTCTCTTATTCTTTTATTCCAGAAAAAAATGGGACTCTTGCTCCTCCCCCCCCAAATCGATGACGTTTTCTTTCAAAATCAGCATCATTCAGCAGCTGTTAAGTGAAAGAGATGCAAATCGATGTCAAAGTTTAAGGTCCGATGGTTTTTATGATGGCAATGAATAATGTAAACGGCAATTGGGATTAAGGAGTGATGAGGCTTTTCCGTTGGAGCGTGCCTGATTGAGAATCTATCTTACCGTTGTGAACAGAGACCGCCCGACTGGCGACAATGACCGTTTTGGAACATTTCATGTCTTGTTGGTGCACCATCCTAAATAGTGTATAGTCGTGCGCCTTTGCAAACAAAAAGGTTCCATAAATGCTTTATTCTATTGTGACAGTTGGTAAGGGGAAAAATAATCGTTTTTCTTTGACAGTAGTTGTATCTTTGTGTGGGAATGATTGTGTCAGAAACAGCCTGCAGGGTTGGTTGGGACACCGTGTGTTCATCTGAAAAAAAAAAAAATCTTCTAAATGTAAATTTTTGTGCAACTGTCGAGGCTGGCCCCTTTGAAAGGGGGATATTGTTTCGCAACAAACGCGGCCCGTCGTTAAATGACAAATGTCCTTAGTAACAAGCCATCCAAACCAACGAGTACACGTTCACGCTCGCTCTTCAACCACTCCTTTCATGTACTGAGATCACTTCGCGGCGGAGTGGATGAAACGAACACATAACTCGTCAATGCACAAAACTGGAACCAAAAGGAACCTGTCGCGGTACGTCGACGGGGAACAAAGTGGAGCATTTTATGTCCCTCAGACGGTTTTGGGGGAGGGGAGGGGGGAACTCCTGAATAAAGGGAATCCAAGGCTTGTCTGGGCGAACAATTAAGGGCAACCTACGGGACCTCTGCTTGGGTACGGGTGGGTATTTGCTATCTCCCTTTTGGGCTTTTCGCTCTGATGCAATCAATCATGTGAATTGTGAGTTTCGTCGGGACGGCTGTCTCGTGTCTGTGTCAGCTCAGATCACTGCTGAGTAAAAAATTAAACAAAAACAAAACCAAAAAAAAAAAGTTGCTACCGTACGAAACGACCGTGGTAATGTATAGGCCTACATATGCACCCCGCAATCTATGCTTGACTCAGTGTGATCAGGTGGGGTTCGGATATGCTAGGTTTCTCATTTACGAATTACGAAATGACCCTTAAAGACAAAGAAGCCGCCACGTGTGAAGTATATGCACTGCTCGATGTTAAAAGAGAATGTGACGCGTGTTTGTGGCGTTGTGGGCAAAGGAAGAATTATACGGGAACGTAACGCAGACGTCTTAGCGGATAATGACAACTGACACACTGTATTTTTCAATTTTTCTTATACGCATTTTGCTTGCCCATTTTTCTTTCGATGTTTTCTTCGAAAATCCCTAAGCAAGTTTTTTATATACAACTGTAAGACCATCATCGGCTCTGCGGCAGGTGTAGCTTTCTCCCCCTACCCCCCGTGTACCGAAGCAGGGGGTAGGGACGGGGGATCCTTGGCGAGTGTCAGCGCCCATGTTAAGGCTTTCCGCTTTGGATTGGCTCTTAATCCTCTCGGAAGCGCCTAAGACAACCGGGACGAAGTTGGCGTTGCTTGAGATCCATGAATCACTACCGCCACATCCCAGCTTGATGGGGGGGGGGATAGACCGGCCTTAGCACTTCTCATTGGCTGACCTACTTTAGCGTCGCTCGTGTCTCATTGGGCCGTCGCTTCCTCATGTGCATGATTGTCTCATGGTGCGTGGAGAATTTTTCATTCTAGAAAGATCGCATTTGGAAATGAGGTGCCATAAGTTTGTCATTAAATCAAATTAGCCTGATTCTTTTATGGTTTTAAAGTCAACCCAGCCCCCCCCGTTAATTTTTTAGAAGTCTTTCGAGATGTAAAAATTTAACTGTAAAGAAACTGGAAGTACCTTTACCAGTTCTGTGCACGAGTGGTTAAAAGGACAGCTTGGAAAGTCTTGATTGATTAATGGATTGGTTTTTAATCGTGAGGGAATTTTGCTTGGTTTGTACGCAGATTTGTGTGCGTCACGCAAAAAAAAAATTGCTGCCGTTAATTTTTTATAATCTTTGAAGCTTTGAGCGGCGACTAGACCCTTGTGTTAGTAAAATACTATAAAAAAAACCACAGGGGGGGTGATTCCTACTGCCCAGTGTATTGTGAGTGTCCAGTGTCTCTTTCATTCATCTAGTGGCTCTGATTAATTTGACCATTTCTGACGACTGCAAAATCGATTCGGGAAGCCTTTCATGCACTTGGCCCTTTTCAATGAGGATTTCGTAACACCTGACGTCCATCGCGATAACATTTCCTTGTGCCGTTTGGAAGGGGAAAGGAAATGATCCGGAGAGAGGCTGTTTTGTTGGAGGCTTAATAGCACGATATCAGGATGAGGAGCAGGTTAATTGGTCAGCAATGACTTCACCTGTTATGAGTGGGGTGGTTTTCCCTTTCGTTCCTGTGAATTTTACCCAGGATTTGCGTCAATTAATTCAACGTGAATTGTGGCGTTGACGTCCCTGGATCCCAAAGTCGTTATTCGCTGGTTTCGTGTTCTGTCGTCAGAGTTTTCCAATAAAGCCATTTAGAGAAGGAGTGTGAGAATCCATCTTTTTAGCTGATTTCAGCTTTCCTTGGGAAAGACGTTGACCCTGAATTTCAGATTTTTTTGTATACCTGGTCTGTACAAAAGTATTGGAACTTTTAGCATTTTAAGCTTTTTTTCTAGCTGTTTTTTAGCTTTGATTTTAACTGGCCACTCACACCCCTGTTAGCTGAGGGTGAAAGCAGAAACTGAAGCAAAAGTTGAAAAGAGGGAAAGAGTCGCGGGCTCACCAGCAACAGACTTTACTTGTATCGATACCCAGCACGAAATGCGGTAAAGGGGTATCTCCATCCTTCCATGTGACACGGGAGCTAGGTACCCTGCTATTGTACCGACTGCGTTCCCTCTGAAAACCTGAAAGGTATTCGCAAGATTCCTACGACACAAAAGAGGTGGGGGGGGGGTTTCTTTGCCGCATACCGCGCATCATAATGGTTGTATCGCCCTCCCGTGTTTTTGTCCTCTCGACTCTTTTTGAGGAGGAGACCTTGACGAGGATTGTTACTGCATTGGACTAACACCCCCCCCCTCCTCCGTCGGGACCCCGGTAATCAGTGAGACCACCAGCCCCTCGACCATCCGCCCCACGATGGGGCGTCCGCGTACAGTTCAGCAGCAGTTCGTCTCAGGGTTTGTAAAAAAAATTTTATACAGATGCAGTTTGCCTTTCCACTCTTTTATTCAGTGCCTCGGCCATGCGACGTCTGCCGTCCCCACAACCCTTCAAATGAAATTGGTTTCGACGGCAAAAGATAATCTTTCTGCAATTATCAGCGTGTTTACAGCGGTTGCCGACGTAGAGCCTATTGTTGTATTCCCCTCCCACCCCACCCCACCCCCCCTCTTTTGTAGATAGAGGGGTGCTTGGGGTGGCCCACTGCTCTGCTAATAAATGACCACCGCGTCATAAAGCAAGGGGATTTCTGGGCAGTGAATTTGTTTACGGCTGCTTTTGGCGGCTTTGGCTGTTTATCCACCTGTTCTCTGAGGACAGACTTCCCTTTAATTGCACGGACCGGCCCCGGCTAAATAGCGGCCTCGGCCAGACACAATAGAAGGCAATGGGACGTTGATACCTGTGTCAGAGGCAAATTAGGACCAAGCCTGAAATATTTTCGTGTTGATAACGGGGATGTGGTCAGCTGGAGGTTTGGCCTCGTTATTCTGCCTATCTTAAGTACGTGAACAGTATATAGGGATGCCTGGATGCCTCCCCTGCTTACTCCCGATCCTATGCATCGTGCTCGGGCAATCATTGATCGTATAAATCCTGGGAGCTCCACCACCATGTTTGCGACAAGATTTTCTGAATGGCGAACAAAAAGTCCAGCATGGATTTTTCCTAAGCAACGTTTCTCTGTTCCCTGTGGAAGGGGAGAAAAAAAAAAGCCTCGGCGAATATCTGATCGACCCGCTGCAATCAGAAAAGAAGAAGAAAAAGTCCGGTGAAAAGGCACGGAGCCCTGGATCCCAGCGTGTCCGGGCCTCACCCCTCGTGGGTCGAATTGCCTCTTTGTCCCGCGGAATGTATCCGCTTTTGTCCCGAAGTGTTTTCGAGTGCCTCGGATTCTTTAAGCAGGGCTGCTCACCGATCGATCCGCGGCCTGAATATCCCATTGGTCCAGTTACAATTAAAATATTTGATTTCTCGGTGCTTCGGTATGCGTGACCGTACACATGCCCCGTCACTGGGGCTCTCGCGATCCATCTTCCCCTCTGCTCTCCCCCCCCCCCATCTCTTGGTTCTCCGTTCCTGGGATTCGGTCCGGCCCGAGTTCTAGTACCGCTTTGCCGTGACCAGGAGAATCTCTTAAGATGACACGGTTGTTGACACCACAAGTGTTATTGCAGCCAGTTGAGATAGGCCGTCAGTGACTATCCAGTAACCGCGCCATTATTGCCCGGCGAGCTCAGTGGCGCTCTATCGTCTAGCCTTGCCTCCACTAGCTCTTTCCCTCAACAGAAAGACCTGAAACTTGAATCACGTCAAAAATACCGAGTAGTGTTATTTTACTGTCAAAATTTACTTCAGTGTACTCGAAAGTGTCTACTTCTTAACATTCAGCGAAATTTACAACGCTTTCACATTTTTCAAAATTAAAATGAAAGGGTGTTCACAGACGACTGAGTTCTGTTCACCCATTATGTAAAATGCCTTCAAGTTGACTGATTTTTTCGAAGTTCTACGCGCAAAAGATAGTCGGGGGGGTCACCAAAGATTATGCTTTTTGGTGGTCTGGCCTATTCCTTGCTCTATGGTCTGGCCAAGTGCCGCCTTTTCCAGGGAGCCGTCTTCTTGCTGTATAATTTATCATACACGACGACAGCGGACACGCGACCCTAACGCCTCACTGATTTATGGCCTATCGCCGTCAGCCCGTTAAAACAAGACCATCTTGTTAAATACCCGCCATAAATCTACTGCTCGTAAAACTGGTGGCGAATTTACGCAGCGTCGGTATGTGACATGACGCTTTCATACCGTGTCCGACCAGTTGTGGTAGACTCGCGGTATGTACAGTATATATACTGTATAAGTGGCATTTTGTGGCGATGCCGTTGAGCACAGGGGAAGTTGCTGTGGGTTTGTGCTGGGTAAAATGTACTGTGGTTTTGGCAGGAAAGTGCTCATCTTTTATTGAAAGCCTTGGCATGTCCTGGGACGGATCATGAGATCCCAGTCTAGTTTCCTTAATGCCATGTACATCGTTGAATTAGAAAACTCTTTGATGACTTCGACAATGCGATGGCTCACTTGTAATGACCTGATATCTGTTTTCTTTGTCCACATTCTGCGGGTTCGTTCTCCACGTCCAAGACTCCCCTGTGACAATTTGACATCCTCTTTCCCAGTCTTGCCTAGCCATCATTCAATTTCCCTTGAACCCGGTAGCCTGTCTGAACTTGTATGATGGAGCGAGGAACTGCGCATGTAACTCGCCGCCATCAGCAACATATCTTTTTTGATTACCCTCTCGCAGAAGGTTGTCACCGAGCCTCTCTGCCCTCCGCACACTGCCGCCATTGTGGACGGTACCGATCATACGTCATCAAGTTGAAGTTGGTGACCTTTGACCCCGGCTGCGTCTAGCCCTGATTGCTCGCATTTGTATACCCGCCACGTCGGTGAAATTGGCGCGATTTCAGGCGAGGACAGACGAGTGCTCTAGGCAGGGGAGCATTCTCCTTAAGATCTGCCTTGAAAGACGAGCTTTCGCCGGTTGGGTATCGGGTGACACAAGGCTCTTTCACGGCCTTTTTTCCTGAGTTCGATTGAGCCCCGGCTAAAACCCCAAGGGTTTCTGGGAAGGATATGTGTCGTCACCTCTGCCAAGAGCTTCATTGAAAATTTGATCGCCATTTGGTCGGCCATTTTGAAGCAGATTTCTCTTTTCTTTCCTTTTCTTTTTTAATCTCGTGGTCCAGACACATTCAACAAAAGCTTTCCCAGAGATCGATTTCCTCTTTGTGTTGACAGGGTTCTGTTGCATTAAATTGTTTTAGTAACTCGCTCTGACATCACATCGGAAGACGTCGCTTTGCATCCGTCAGGAGACCACATAATCACAGCTGAAGGGATAGACTAATTAAATCAAGCAAGCTGTAACCATTGTGTTCTTCAATCCTGTAGTACCCTGTCTGAGGCTCCTTGACAGCACCACTGAAATCACACCTTTATTCTTGAATAAAAAAAAAACTATTAAGTTTCCAACAGCCACCATATAGTTGATGAAACAGGATGCTTTGCGTATCAAATATTGCCAACTATTGATATATATTTATTTATCTTAAAGATACAGCGAACCATTCTAGGGTCTTCCTATGCAAGTGCAGTTAAGGTGTGCCAAAACCTGAGATTGTTCTTGTTGGAGACTAAACTGCGTGTTTTCTTTTCTTTGCAGGGAGCACACGATGATGGTTCCAACTATATACACGGCGATCATCATTCATCAGTTATTAGAAAAGGTGAGTTTAAAAATGAAAAAAAAAAATCAAAAACTCTGGAGGGCGCTCTCCCTGACTACATTTCATACTTGGAACAAACCGATTATCCTGGTAACGTTAACGTGACGCTTTTGCCAGTGATCGGAGTTAAGACATGAGGTCAGCACACAGATTGTCCAGAAAAAAAATCCAAATGTTACAGTATTCTTTGTATGACGTCATAGTACTCTGTGTTAGGGGAAAACTTAGCAAGGCTGGCGCCATAAGACTGGGCTCAAAGCTTGGTCGGTTGTACTAAATTTGTAGTTCGCAATTAGTTCGACAAATTTCATTTCATTTTCCCGACTTACGTATCAGCGTAGCCTTCTATTTCAATGCATATTAGCTTCTGGGTACAAGTGCACTTGGCAATGGATACAGTTTTTACCTACCTCATTTGCGCTATGGCACTTGCCACTTGCAGCAGCACGTCACCTAGAATGGTGTTCTCGATGTGAACAGATGCATAGATGCAAGCTTTGTGAAGATGATTCATTGTGGATAAGTTTTTCGTAATATTAGTTGGTATCTGTTATTGTGTAGTAGGTGTTATGTTCGCTCACTGTGAGTTATTTCTGATGACATCTTTTTTTGTAAACCAACTCTGACAGCGCATATTTTACGTGGCACCTGTGTGCGTGCATTGAATGACCCGGATTAAATTGAGATTCAAACCCCGCCAGGTTGGCCACTTTACCGGTTGCTCCATCCAGTCCGAGGCCAACCGGCGCAATTTTTTCGCACGAGCGGGTTGTTCGGGGTCTGTCGAGGTTCAACCGGCTAGAAATTGGCCTCGTCTCTTGTTTCACCAGCAGGCGAGCGGGTTCATCAGTAGGGATTAGACTGTTTATTCTGCTAATGAAAATGAAAGCCCGGTTGCCGCCGCGCGAGATGAAACGGCGGGGGCAACGCGTCGCGCGTGGGTCGAATCGCGGGATGGAGCTGACAGTCGTCGTGCTCCTGTCAGAACACAAGACGAGAGATCCCGATCGTGGATAGCACGAGAAAGAGCGCAAGTGAGAGATCGGTTCAGGACGATGTGAACACATAGGCAAGACGGACGCACTGTTTTATCAGAGATGATTTCCCCCTAATTGTCGACCAGGGAGCCGTGGCGGTTGATTGCTCACCGGCCGAGCAGTGCGCTTCGCCGCGCATAAAGATGCTTCCGTGACCGCGACAAATTCACTAACGATCGCTGGCCCAAAAAAAATCCACCAGTCTCTATCGTTTAACATTTCAGCCATAAACCAAAGTAAAAATAAAGATGCACAGTTCCACCACGAAATTGCCCCTCACTTTTTTCAACCTATATTCTGATCGCCAAATCGGTACAGAATAATCCAGTCTAGAGAAATCGAATCATAAGTGAAAAGTACAAAAAACCAAACACCGAAAATGAGAGTCCATCAGAATAACTTGGGCGAAATAGACTGCTTCACAATGACTGAAATGGGTTTGCGAGTCAAGTACCATACAGCTTATAAATATTATCATTATACCTCATGAATAAATTAAGAAAAGCAGGCAAATGGGATGTTGAATAATATATTTATATACCATTTGGAAAGTATTCGTGTCATATTCCTAGTATTCTCATGTTTCTTCCTTCAGTCGTCGGTCTATTGTCAGCTACCGGCTTGTTTTGATAATCTTACAATTCCTTCTCTTTGAATAATTTCGCGTGTATTCTTTTGCCCCCAGTCGTCTATTGACGTCTTTCCGCTATATTTGATAGACTGCCATTCTGTCTAAGTGCCTGGGATGATTTAATACATTAGGATGTTTCTTGTCGTGTCCCAGGTGAATATTTTGATCAATTCATAACGGCCATTTTTGCCCATTATCGGTTGGGCTCTGCTCCGCGTTGCGAGGACTGTATTATGATCCATTTCTGGCTGTCCGGCGCGCGCGCGACCCGAGCGTAAACTGGCCGTGCACAGCTCTTCGTTAATTATTTAAAAGCGCCTTTCTCCAGTATGTAAGCTAATAACATGTCGAGGCTGACTCGCTCTCACAGTGTGCTGTGTTGAATTAAATTAATCTCCTTGTTCGGTGTGATGGCAATCATGCATGGCCGGCCAATTCCAAGCTTCTATCCCGAAAAAAAAAAACTACCGAGCGCTCCGGTCCGGGGGCAGAGCTAAGGCGAAGGAAAAGGCCCTGGTTTTGCTTCACTCAAACCCGCTGCACTTTTCAGGTCAACGGTCCTCTCCTGAAAACCTTCAACCTCATCAAGGAGTCTGTGTGTATATTCTCGGCAATATCCAAGCAGAATTGATTTGAAGTGTGGAAAATTGATTACCAGAATTTAATACAAACAAGACAGGCGGGGAAAAGGCTCCATCGCACAGTGGGTGGTTGTGAAGGCCGACAAATTACTCTGAAAAATTCACACCCAGTGAGCTACCAAATGTGACGAAGAGCAGAAATATACCGCACTACCACTTCTGGCAAGGGAAAGGTTCTTCTTTCTGAATCAAGCAACTTGTACTATTAAACAAATGAATATCTCTTGCTGGATTTTGAGGAATGGATTTGTAATTTGGTTAAGTGAGATGCGCAAAGGTGACTGCACACTTCTCGTAATATATACATATATATATATTTCCAAGACCGTTGCGTGAATCATCACATGACTCATCACATGATCTATCCCAACGTTGGACGCTTCCGAGTCTTGGCAGTCAAAATATTTATACTATTTTAAGTCACCCCAACTCTATAGCTTGGGGGGGTCATAATTGTAAAGAAATTGCTTTTCTTAGCAATAGCAGAAAGTAAAAATTGCGGATAACCTAATATTTATATCATCATTAGGTTAAATTCTTTTATAACTTATCAGCAATTCAAAAATTATAAGGACCAAACGATATTAACAGAAACCGAGTGAAACATCTCAAGTGAACGACTGCCGGTTAAAATGGAACGTATTTAAAAAGGGACACTGGTTAGTTTTATTTGTACTCCTGAAAAACGTCAGGGCTGGGAAAGGGACTTGACTGGCTCAGAATTTGGACTGGCCGACCTCCTAATCAGAAACACTGGTACAGTCGATGTTGAGACCCAACATCAGTTCACTGTGCATTTACTGACTGGACCGAGTCCATGTTAAACCCCAGCACGGAATCCAGTGTTTGTACGCGGTTGGTATACACTGGCCTCCCCGGTTATGCATTTTCATTAATCGTAACCTGCTTCACCCGAACAAAAAAGCCCCTCACATATCTAGGTCTTTGGACTTGCTGGCGGTGGCAATGCCCTGAGCTAACCCGCTTGTCGGCTCGGACGCTCCGCTGCTTCCATTGTTGTCGTGCCCAGGGCCAGGTAGCTCGGAGACCTCACCTGTCGAAGAGTTACCGCTTCATCGCACCCAACCATCGGCGTCTCGCTGGGATTACTAACATGTCCTACGCAGGATTATTACAATAGAAAAATGGCTGCGTAAGGTTTGTGTGGCGTTGAAATAAAAAAGCCCCAGTGCGCATAGCCGCGCGTGTGATTGTTGAAGAACACGAAAATCTTGTTGTTAATGTAATGCTATAGAGGAGCGCTGTGACTTTTGGTTTCGCTGTGCCAATGTTAATGCAACGTTATTGCTCTGCGCAAGATTTCAGAAGCGAGCATAATGGCAACTTCACGGTGCTCTAGAAATCCCAATCCCTGTCACAATTTGAGCGGGCCTTCGGTGCTTTTTTTGAGGGGGGGATGTTCAGCGGGGAGAGCGGTGTGTGTCAGTTGGCAAATTGGGATGACGAATACACTGGTTCGGATATGGCAATTTACCTGCGAACGCGACAATGTCCGAAGCTTATATAAGTGGCGATGCTATTGCCTTTCGTCAAAACCACCTTGCTGGGGGAAAGACGAGGGGACAGTGGTTTTATTTAGGTCACTCATGCCCCGCCAGCGCCGATGCATGCTTTGATGGCACCACCGGGCGTCCAATTCCCTCATTGTTCGGCGCGTATATAGTCAAAATATTACGTGAATATTGCTGTTATTGCCCATGATATTATGGTTTAACCAGCTATTGAAATGCACCGTTGAATGGGCCGCCTTGTCAACGCGTTGCCCATGTCTTTGATTACGCATTGTGGCCGGGAATCACAATATGAGCCTTGATTATTCCATTTGCCAGGATTCTGCAGAACAGGGCTTCAATTTCTCTTCACGAGTTTCCTCTCTTTTTTTATTTCATTTTATTATTTTTTTCAGTTAGGTGGGAAATAAAACGCCACTGATAATATCAGGTGAACACGAAACATAATCCCGCCAAATTAGGCAAGTTTGATTGGTGCAAGGCAGCGCATGTGGCGGATTAAATCACGGCTATTTTCCACGGCCAAAGTGTCAGGGTAATTGGAGTCCGTATGCCTATGCACGTTCTTTTTGTCGGTCGGAGTTATTTCAGACAGCCTTGTGTTGAGTTTGCCGACAAAAACAGAAACATAATGAACCCAGCAACCATCCAACTAGTAAAATTTAACCTTTGACCCCTCTACTTGTCATTTTTATATAAAACATGTACATACAAATGCCTCATTGGTACAATAAGTGAATTCACTATTTTGATAGCTGTTAGATGCTATTTTTAAATTATTCAAATCTTGTCACAGGTTGAAGAAACTGTCATAGTAAAACAGCAATATTGTAGCAATGAAAATCTGTGAATAGACGTCATTGATGCCCATTCACGTCTGCGCATGCCCAACCCTAAAACGGCATCAGGTCGATGAGCTCGAAAGTACATGTATTTATGTTACCGAAGCGAAACTAGTTGAAGAGAACAAGTCTCACAACTGCCCGTGAAACTGGGACGTTTCTGGAAAATGCAACAACTCGAGACGTCCAGGAACCAAATTAGACAGTCGCGGTCGTATCTATCGTTTGGCAGCCACTGTCCGATTCGAATGCAGCCAACATGACGTCAAATTTAAAGAAAACATTGTCGTTACCGTAGAGTGGTCTCTGCAGCAGGG